ATGATGGTTGCACTTCATATAATTGAAACTAAAATTTTATTTGACTATTTTGAATTATGGATAAGCTTCATAGTTCGTAATACTTGGCACATTATTATACAAAAAGTTGCCCCGTTTTTTTACGTTTTCATGTAAAACGCATGCAATAAAGAGAACTTTTGACAAAAGTTGGTCTACAAAATGGTTTTGCACTAAAGAGGTTATGCACCATACTCATGAGCATGATGCCAAATAAACTAACTTAATATTATATTCAACTTAACTATAATTTTATCACTTCAATATAGCAAGTTATCGTGCTCCCTTTTCGGTTAACAAAATCATGTATTCATCACTATCAATAATACATCTTTAAATAAGAACTTCATTACGAAGAAATCTGTTAAATGAAAAAAATGAACTATCATGACTTGATGAGATACAACTAAGTAACGTTTTTGTACCTTCTAAAATAAAAGTCATGTAACTATAAAATATCTATCTAACTTAATTTAACTATTCATCTTCATGATTCAGATCAATAACTTCCAATTCAAGTATTAGGCTACCAAGAAACCATCAAAATTCACATGTTTTAACATTAAATAACCATTGATTTTTTTTTTATATAATTTAGTAACTCAAAATTATGCCAAAAATAAATATATGATTAAAATTTTACTATTTTGGACAAAAATTTACCTACAATGAGACTACACAAACCAGACACTCAAATAGGAACTTTAAAAATAATAATAATAATAATAATAAATAAAAGGTGTATCCGTATGAAATTTTGTACTTGTAAGTTAAGAACACATCACGCAACACAAATATACATATTGCCGATCAGATGATCAAGAAAAATTAAATATATAACACCTTAAATTTTTTTCTAAATCGCAAAAGATATGTAGAAAAAATACAGAAGCATATCCCGAGGAGTTGCTTGATGTATGTGGCTGGAGGGAATTAAGCTACTTTTAATAAGAAACTATTGAGTATAATTATTATTATTGATAGTTAGTTTTCATTCTTTATTATGTAACACAATTGTCCAGTTAGTAGTTAGCTTAGTATTAGTGGTTAGCTCTAGTCAAAGTAGATGATTAGCAATTGAGTTAGTATATATATATATATATATATATATATATATATATATATATGTACTGTTGGTAATCAAGAGAGAGAAATAATATTTTCTGAAAAAATATCTCTGCTTCTCCACTCTCTTCTTCTCTCCATTCTCTCAGAACATTCTAGAAGACTCCATGGGAGCTTCATTCATCCAAGCTCACATGCACTTTTGATATGGTATCAGAGCAAGGACGTCAGCTCACATTCCTTCAACGTATCCAAATTTCATCTTGTTTCGTCAATTTCTAGGGTTCTGGTAATTGCCGCCCAAAATCTGGAAGAGCTCCCCTTACAAGTCGAGGATCTCAAACCTAGCTAAAATCCGTCAGATTCATTAGATCGAAGCTTTGAATATGGCTGTCGATCAACCTGAAGAGACAACTCCTAGCTCAAGCAGAAATGACCAATTGACCATCGATACAGGTAATCCCCTCTACATTCACCCTTCAGATAGTCCTGGTATGACTTTAGTACCAGTTTCATTCGATGGAATTGGATATCGCTCCTGGAGAAGAAGCGTATTGCGAGCCTTGTCGGTTAAGAATAAATTGGGATTTATTACCGGAGAGCTTAGGAAACCTAGTTTCGATTCGCCTCAATTCCTTCAAATGGGAGAGATGTGATGACATGGTGACTTCGTGGATCCTCAACTCCCTTGCCAAGGAAATATCTGACAGCGTAGAGTACGTGAATGACTCAGTCGAGCTGTGGAGAGAATTAGAGGATCGGTATGACCAGACGAATGGGGCAAAATTGTATCAGATTCAGAAAGAGATCAATGATCTTGCGCAAGGTTCCCTAGACATCACTACATATTATACACGGATGAAAAAATTATGGGAAGAATTAAACACTTTAAGTGCCAAATCTCAGTGCACCTGCAATTGCACTTGTGGAGCAAAAGAGACCATGCACAAAGCAGAACAGGATCGACGGCTCATCCAGTTTCTAATGGGACTGAACGAGGTATACACAATAGTGCGAGGAAGTATTCTCATGATGAAGCCACTGCCCTCTATGGCACAGGCCTTCTCGCTACTGATTCAAGAGGAAAAACAAAGAGAATTCAAGCCTAATAGTCAGTTAACCCTGGATTCCACCTCATTGCATGTGAATGCAAGTTCACAGAATCAAAGTCCATTTGGAGCTAGAAATTTCAAGACACACTACACACCTAATAACAACAACAAGGGTCGCCCATTCTGTGATTATTGCAAAAGACCAGGGCATACAAAGGAGAAGTGCTACAAGTTACATGGATATCCCCAGGGAAATTCTTATAATAATCAAAATCTCAATCGTAACAATACTAATGTTCAACCATATAACCAAGGGAACAATCAGAACTACAGGTTCAATAAAGGAAAAGGATCTGTGGCTAATGTGCATGGAACTCCAGCTGACATGATTCATGAGAATGGGAATGAACAAGAACCACAAGATGGCAATCAGAATCTCAATCTCACAAAGGAGCAGTATGGGCAGATAATGAATTTGCTGCTGCACTTCCAGATAGGATATGCAGGAGGTTCTCCTAGCAACATAGATAACACAAGTGGCAGTGCCAACTTTGCAGGTATTGTTGTCTGTACTTCTTCCATTGATTTTGACAAACCTTCATGTAAATGTTTTGAATCAAAGGCTGATCTTTGGATTATAGACTCAGGAGCATCCAATCATATGACCTTTAATAGACATACACTCACTAATATCACCAAATTACCCTATCCTTTATTAATAAGTCTACCAAATGGATATAGAGTAAAGGTTATTGAATTTGGAGATGTGATACTTTCTTCAGACATTGTTCTACATAGGGTCCTTTATGTCCCATCTTTCAAGTACAACTTGATTTCTGTTCATTCCCTTACAGTACACCTTAGATGTATTGTGTTTTTCAGTAATGCACTTTGTCTGTTGCAGGCCCCTTCAGTGAAGAGGCCTCAGGTGATTGGTAGTAGCAAAGAAGGTCTGTATTACCTCTGTTCCAGATGTCTGAAGGGTAAAGGAACTGTCTTACCTTCTGTTGTTTCATCTTCCTATTGCAATTGCATTCCTGTTCCTCAATTTCCAAGTAGTCATGAGTCTGTAGGTCATACTCATTCATGTCACACTTCTCAATCTGTAAATACTTCCATTTCAATCAATAAGAATGAGTCTTCTTGTGTGTCTGATAAGTATGATGTAAATTCTCTATGGCATAATAGGCTTGGCCATGTTCCTTTTGTTAAAATGAGAGGGATATCCTCAATCCCAGTAAAATTTGCACCAAGACAACCCTTTATCTGCCCTATATGCCCCATGGCAAGGCAAACTAGACTACCATTCCCCCAAAGAACCAGCACTACCTCCAAATTATTTGATTGGTTCACATGGATATATGGGGCCCTTACCATGTAACCACCCATGATAATTACAGATATTTTCTTACAATAGTGGATGACTTCAGTAGATCCACATGGACACACCTGTTAAGCTGCAAAAGCAATGCCCTTCAAGCCTTAAAAACTTTTGTAACTATGATTGAAAATCAATTCAATACTTCCATAAAGGCTATTAGATCTGATAATGGCCTGGAATTCACCTGCCATGAAGCTCTTTCATTCTACCAGTCTAAAGGAATCATACATCAGAAAACATGCCCCTATACACCTCAATAAAATGGTGTGGTAGAGAGAAAACATAAGTACCTACTTGAAACTGCCAGGGCTCTCATGTTTCAATCCAAACTCCCAACCAAATATTGGGGAGAGTGCATCCTAACAGCCACTTATTTGATAAATAGGCTGCCTACCACCTATCTCAATAACAGATGCCCTTTTGAGCTGTTATACAAAAAGAAACCTCTTTATTCCCACTTGAGAAGTTTTGGATGCTTGTGTTATCCCACTTTACCCAAAATACATAGAGACAAATTTGAACCAAGAACCACTCCTCACATCTTTGTAGGCTACCCCTTTGGAACAAAAGGATACAAGGTACTGAGCCTAGTCACCAAGAGAATTCACATTTCTAGAGATGTAGTCTTCCATGAAAACATTTTTCCATTCTCCCTAAGTTCTGAAAATGTTTCCTTTCCTGCTGTTCTTAGAAGAGTCTCTTTTCCTAACTATGTTGAAGATAGCAGCCAGGTTTCCCCTATGAATTTAGGACAAAGTCCTGTTAGTGTCACATCTCCACAGGCAGAACACCAATCTGAAACACTTTTTAATGACACACCATCTTCAAATACCATTGAACCTCCTTCTATCAATGACAACACCTTACAGCTTTCACCTTCTAATGACACACACACCCACACAGAATCACCACTTCTGAGGAAATCAAGCAGAAGTCACCAAACTCCTGCTTACTTAAAAGACTATGTTTACCAGCGACCCAACAGTTCTACTCAGTTTTCCAATCCTTCCCCTTCACTAAAGGCCCTATTTTCTAATCATCACCACATCACTCCTGATGCTCTATCTGCTGAAAGTCAGCACTTGATACAAAATATTTGCCATGATAGTGAGCCATCTTCATATGAAGAGGCAACCCTCAATCCTGCTTGGCAGGCAGCCATGACACAAGAATTTGAGGCCTTTCATGCTAACCACACTTGGGATTTAGTCCCTTTGCCAGCTGGGAAACAAGCAATAGGTTGTAAATGGGTATATAAAATCAAACATAGAGCTGATGGGAGTGTTGAAAGATTCAAGGCTAGGTTAGTAGTAAAGGGTTACACTCAACAGGCTGGGATTGACTATACAGAAACCTTCTCTCCTGTGGTGAAAATGACAACTGTTAGAGCCTTAGTTACAGTAGCTGTTAAGAAGGGATGAGATATATTCCAACTAGATGTAAACAATGCCTTCATCCATGGGGACTTGCATGAGGAAGTCTATATGGAAGCCCCTTCTGGGATGGTAGTGGATCAACATAGTTCAAGTAAGGTGGTGTGTAGACTGAATAAGTCACTCTATGGGCTCCAGCAGGCCAGCAGATAATGGTATGCTAAATTGACTGAAGCATTGTCCACAAGAGGGTACCAACATTCTGAAAATGACCATTCCCTGTTTTGCAAGAAAACTCCTTCTTCCATTATTTTTGTGGGTGTCTATTTTGATGATGTTATAATTACTGGAACTGATTCAGCAGAGATTGCGGACTTGAAGGCCTTCCTAGATCAAAAGTTCAAAATAAAGGACCTAGGCAGACTTCATTATTTTTTGGGCTTAGAACTCTTATACAAACCAGATGGCATTCTCATTTCTCAAAGAAAGTTTACCTTAGATTTGTTGAAAGAATATCAGGTCTTTGACTACAGCAGTGTTTCTTCACCCCTTGATCCTGCCATAAAGTTGAAAGCACAAGAAGGAAACCTACTGCCAGACCCTACATACTACAGGAAGTTAGTGGGAAAGCTCAATTTCCTTACCAACACAAGGCTGGATATAGCTTATAGTGTACAGCTCCTGAGCCAATTTATGCAGGCACCAAGAGATACTCACTTAACAGCTGCATTTCACCTTCTCAGATACTTAAAGAAGGAGCCTACTCTAGGTGTTTTCTTCTCAAATAATCCTGACTATTCAATTAAGGCATTTTGTGACTCAGATTGGGCAGCCTGCCCAGACTCTAAGAGGTCTGTCACTGGATACATTATTTTGGTGGGAGATAGTCCTATTAGTTGGAAGTCCAAGAAGCAGGAGACTGTCTCCTTATCCTCAGCTGAAGCAGAGTATAGATCTCTCAGAAAAGTAGTTGGAGAATTGGTCTGGCTAAGCAGACTATTTGCTGAACTCACTGTTGTCCAGTCATGTCCTATACAGGTGTTTTGTGACAGTCAGTCTGCTATACACATTGCTCACAACCCAGTGTTTCATGAAAGGACCAAGCACATTGAAGTTGATTGCCATTTTGTTAGGAACAAATTGCAAGAAGGCCTAATCTCTCTATATCATGTACCCACTCACCATCAGTTGGCCGATATTCTCACAAAGGCCCTCACCGGGGTCAAACACTCAGGTGTCCTAAGCAAGTTGGCTGTGAAGACCTCACTTCCAACTTGAGGGGGGGTATTGAGTATAGTTATTATTATTGATAGTTAGTTTTCATTCTTTATTATGTAACACAATTGTCAGTTAGTAGTTAGCTTAGTATTAGTGGTTAGCTCTAGTCAAAGTAGATGATTAGCAATTGAGTTAGTCAATGTATATATATATACATCATGTATTGTTGGTAATCAAGAGAGAGAAATAATATTTTCTGAAAAAATATCTCTGCTTCTCCACTCTCTTCTTCTTTCCATTCTCTCAGAACATTCTAGAAGACTCCATGGGAGCTTCATTCATCCAAGCTCACATGCACTTTTGATAGAAACAGACAATGGTGCTTTGATGAATCTATGATATAAATTTTATTCTGAATAACTGAATTGTATTGCAATATGAAAAAAATAAGACGGTTGCCTCTTTGTTTTTGATTTTGTAGGGAAAAAAAAAAGATTGTGTTACCTAGTTTAAATAATAAAAGGAATTATATTAGGAAAATTCTAATTGATCTTAAACTCCTAAATATTAGGTTCCTACATATATTAATTAGGAGTTACTATATGATTCAGATGAGGAAAAATTCAATAAGTATAATTTAGTTGATTTTATTATCCTAAATATTAGAGAAATTATTTCATTACGATATTGCCCAATGTAAACTTCATTTTTAGAAGGTAAAAAACGCGAACGACATTTCGCTAAAGATATTCGTGCTTTTAATATATATAACATACTATTGTTAAACTTGATAAGTTAGTTTTCTACTATTATAATTGAAATTTAACAAGAATATATTACTAGTACATATTTTTTTTTTTTTTGGAAAATTCCCAGGAAAATCGTTATCCTTGGAATGTGCGCTGGTAAACCTGCTCGTTGTGCATATTACTAGTATATATTAATATCAATTACCAAATGTCTTAAAAACTAATATCCCCAAATCATTTTTATTTTGTGTTGTCCACTTGGCAACACAAACACAAAGCGGACCAAAAATGCATTTATTGGACGGCAACTGTTTAAAAACCACCCAATTATGCCGAGCTATTTTAAGTGACATCATCCAAACGCAATGATCCCGTCTGCATGGCGTCATAAGTGGGACCCTCTAAGTTAGTCTTTAATTTTTAAAGTTTTTAGGTTCATATATTTGAATATTAACCTTCTAGAGAAGTGTCTTTGGCCCTATTATAGTAATTCAAATATCTATCTAATCAATGGTAGGATCGCTTTTTTATCTTTTTCCCTTTTTACTTTTTTAGCTCATTGGTTTTAGTTGTCATTTTCAACAGCTTGAGGGCTGTACTTTATATATTTGATTATTTGACTTCCTTACCTAATTTTCCTGTGTGTTCCCTCAATTGTGACCACTAGAACATACTTCCATGTTATTTTTATTTTAATAAGTCAACTTAATTCCACGTTATTCCATTCCCTTCAATTTATATCAAAGTATTTCATTGGACATATAATTCTAGAAAGAAAAGAACTTTTTTAAAAATTTATGATAAAAATATGGCAGGGTAATTTTGAGACTATAAATATATGCCTGCAACATATAAAATATTTTCTTTCTTTGGAATAAACTAAAAACATAATGTCACATAAAATATTGTTTTTGGTCTTAATCAATGCCTATGTATTATTTCTCTATGGTAAACTATACATATGTAATTTGTCGTAGTCTAACTTAAACGCATCTCTATATTTATCGGGTACAGCTGACTAACAGGTGACCGCATAAACTATTTTATCGACATAAAGTATAAGTTATATATATATATATATATATATATATATATATATATATATATATATATATATATATATATATATATATATATATA